AGCTGACTTATAGTACAGGTAGTTGTAAAGCTCAACAGAATTTAATCTGCATAGTGATTCTCTGCAGGGGCTAAGAGTGTGCATTTTTAGAGTTATTCAGACCTGTGTCCAAAAAATCATGATTCTTCCACTCATTATCTATGAAATTTTATCTTGCTTACTAAACTGAGTTATCATTTTCTCCTATGTAAAATGTACATAATAAAATCTAACTTCCAGGATTATTTTAAAGATAAACTAGATGATATGAGTAAAAAGATTAGAATTAGAATGACCTAGCACACGGCCAGTGTTCAAATAGTAGTTCTTATTAAGGCTGTAAAGGATGCTTATAAAAGCATCCTACTTCTAAAAAATAAAATTTCCTACTTTTAAAAAATAAGGTATAAATAACCTACTTTAACATTTCCTAAATGACTCAGAGTATTATCATGATTATCAATCAAATGCAAAGAAACTCTCCAGATCTGTTAAGGTTTGCTTCTTCTGTTTTTTTTGGCTGGGGCTGGGTTTGAACCCACCACCTCTGGCATATGGGGCCAGTACCCTACTCCTTTGAGCTACAGGCGCTTTGAACAGTGTTCCCCCGCTGGCTATCAGTTGTCAGTCCAACTTTGTTTTGTTGTGTTCTAGTCTTTAGCAGTTTCTTGCCAGTTACCTGACATCTCTAATCTTTAGGTAAATGACAGATCACTAAGCATGTTAAAATGTGCTATTAATCGCTTAAAATATTCTTCACATAAAATATTCTTCAATGAACAAAATAAGTATTTTTATATAAAGACAACAGGGTATTCATTTTGGCTATTTATAGAAGTCTTTGGGGGGACCATATCAAACTTACTTTCTGGCTTGTAGGTAATTCCCAGATAAATAATCCAACACTGACTAGTTATAAAAACCACTGAATTTTGAGAAAATAACTGTTAAACACTGTGTCAGGAATATAAACGCTATATTGTTTAAGAAATGAAAAACAATTGGTTGTAGGTACATGGCTTTATTTCTGGGTTCTCTATTCTGTTCCATTAGATCAATTGCCTATTTGCTTATACTATGCTGTCTTGGTTACTGTAGCCTTGTACTGTAATTTGAAATCAGGTAATGTGATGCTTTTAGCTTTATTCTTTTTACTTGATATTGCTGTGGCTATTCGGGCTCTTTTCTGGTTTTATATGAATTTTAGGATTGTTTCTCTAATTCTGTGAAAAATGACTCTGGTATTTAGATGGAAATTGTATTGAATCTCTAGATCGCCCAAAATTATGGTTATTTTGAATAATATTGATTCTGCCAATCCATAAGCCTGGGATGTTTTCCCATTTGTTTGAGTTACCAACAATGTTTTTCATCATTATTTTGTATTTTTGCTTATGGAGATCTTTTACTTCCTTGGTTAAATGTATTCCTAGGTATTGTTTCACTTTTGTAGCTATTACAAATGGAATTATAAATGAAATTGAGTTCTTGATTTGGATCTTAGCCAGACTGTTAGTCATTTTTCTATGTTGAATGTGTATCCTGAAATTTTGCCAGGATTGTGTATCCTGAATTCATTTATCAAAGCCAGTTGTTTAGAGGAGTCTTTAGGCAGACTGTCCAACCTTTTCTCTTCTCTGCCATAAATTGGAAGAATAAGAGTTGCCTTGGGCCACACATTAAATACATAAACACCATCAAAAGCTGACTAGCAAAAAGAAAAGGCTCATATATACTTTTTGTGGTATCTGACACCACAAATAAGCAAAACAGGCCTCAGAAAATCTGCATGAGCCCCATCGGCTGCAGGTTGAACATTGCCTTTTAATGGTTTTCTCGGTATAATGTCATTACCATCAGTGAAAGAGATAATTTGACTTCCTCTTTTCCAGCTTCGAAGCCCTTTCTTTCTTTCTCTTGCCTGACTGTTTTGGCTAGGACTTTCAGTACTATGCTGAATAGAAGTGGTTACAGTGGGCATCCTGGTCATTTTCTAGTTCTTGGTGGGAAGGCTTTCAACCTTTCCCCATTCAGTATGATGTTGGTTATGGGTTTGTCTTATATGGCCTTTACTATTCTGAAGTATGATCCTTTAGGCCTAGTTTATTGAGGGTTTTTAATCAAGGAATGATGTATTTTATCAAATACATATACATCTATGGAAATAATCATCTGATTTTGTTTTTAATTCTGTTCATGTAGTAAATCATATTGATTGATTTCCATATATTGAATCATCCTTACACCTCTGGAATAAAACTCACATGATTGCATTATATTACTTTTTTGATGTGCTACTGGATTCTGTTTGCTAGTATTTTATTGGGGATTTTTGTTCACCAAAATATTGGTTTGTAGTTTTTTGGGTTTTGTTGTATCCTCGCCTGTCTTTGCTATCAAGATGATACTGGCTTCGCAGAATGAGTTATGGAGGATGCACTCTTCCTCGATTTGGGGCAACATTTTCAGTTAGAAAGATGTGGTAGAAGTTCCCTGTATGTATGTCTGGTAGAATTCAGCTATACATCCATGTAGTTCTGGGCATATTTTTGTTGAAAAAGTTTTTATTACTCATTCCATCTCACTACTCATTATTTGTCTGTTCAGGATTTCTATTTCTTCCAGTTCAGTCTTGGAAGGTTGTATATTTCCAGGAATTTATCCACTAGGTTTTCTAGTTTGTGAAGATAGAGATGTTCAGAGTAGTCTCTAATGATCTTTTGTATTTTTCTGGTTATCAGCTGTGATGCCATTTTTATTCCTTATTGCACTTAAATAAATTTTCTCTCTTTTTTTTTCTTTGGTTTAGCTAACAGTCCATCACTTTTATCTTTCAATGAACCAGTTTTTTCTTTCATTGATCCTCTGTATTGTTTTTTCATCTCAATTTCATTTGATTCTGCTCTGATCTTTATTATTTCTTTTCTTCTGCTGGCTTCAGGTTTGGTTTGTTCTTGTTTTTCTAATTTCTTGAGGTGCCATGTACTTTGAAAAATTCCAATATGATTTAGTTTCCTGTGGCTAATCTACATTTATTACATTCATCATTCCATTTTTTGGTGCTCTGTTGTAATTCTTTCCTTTATTACTCATGTTTTCTAGTTCTTCTCTATATATTTGATATGTCTCTTTAGGTAGATTTAAAATTACTTAAGGGTACAAGCTAAGATTTGTATCTTAAAATAGTATTTAGGATTATATATAACAAATGTTTAATGCAATTTATACCACCCTCCAGGAAAGAAGTGTTTATAAGAAGGTAAACTCCTTTCTAAAACCAAAGGTTAAAACAAAGATGAAGCTTTCCATTTTTTGTATTTTCCTAGATGGAGTTAAAGAATGTTCTCCTTAGTAAAGTATCTCAAGAATGAGAAATCAAGCACCCTACTCAATACTAAATTAGTACTCGGTACTAATTTGTGAAACTATCGTGTTTCACCGAAAATAAGACCTACTCCCCAAATAAGCCCTAGTAGGATTTCTATGCATTTGTTAAATATAAGCCCTACCCTGATAATAAGACCTAGTGATGGGCATGGCTATGCACATACACTGCATGGTGTGGCCAAGCATATCTGCATAGCCATGCCATGCATTTCAGTACGGAGCAGTAAGGAAGACTGGAATACCTTTTATCTGCCACAGCTCCTTTCTCCAAGCCATTGGCACTTGCACGGGTGCATGTGTGGTAACCACAGACGCAGGCATCCTATTGTGCACGTGCTAACGGCCAGGGGAAAGGAGTTCACGCATCACTAGCGCCAGCCCCACCAACAAGGTAGGCTCCCCCTGACAGGTTCCAGAAGAAGATGACTTAACTGTATTTGAAAAATTGTAGATTGTTGTATTATACTTAATAGAAATAAGATATCCCTGAAAATAAGCCCTAGTGTGTCTTCTTGAGAAAAAAATAAAGAACAAATAGAAGACAGTCTTATTTTCAGGGAAACATGGTAGCAGATGAACAACTACAGGCCCAGAGGAGAGAAAAACACAATTAAATTCAAGTGGGGAGAGGGGAAAGGTGGGGGAGGCTCAGTAAAGTAAGCTCCCACCTAATGGGCAAAATGCAGGGGCACACAGAACACTTCCTAGGTGAAAGAC